CAATGGGAAACACTTCTCCCCAACGCTGTGGAAATCTGCTGCTAGTTAACTAAGATAGCAATGGACTACTTGGGCAAATAGTTTAACCTGGTATAGGGCAGCTTCCTATACTCTTTAGAACAACAACTGTAACGGTCTATTACAATAGTCAACCATCAAAAAAATTTGGCTGGCTGTAAGGCTTCTCTGAGTCCTGTAACACACATAAAGAGCTCCACAGATGTATGGGTTCTCGTCCTGCCTGGAATGAAGCAAGACATCCACCCACTGCTCCTTATTGAAGTTGTCTGCAATACACAAGTAACTTGGGTAAGAAGTTTCTCACACTGTCCTTGGCCCCAAATGGGACTGTCAGAAAGAGATTTCTGGACAATGATTGCAACCACATTGGAACTCTGTGCATAGTTGCTGACAACACATTTAAAAACATTAAACCATGATCATTCATTTGGAACACTGCATATTCTTTATGTCATCCACAGGCAAGTTTTAAACTTGAAGAGATTTAAGAGTCATACAACTCACACTAAAATAAACACATTTTGTACACTTTAAACCTATGAAGTAATTCATGTTCATTTTCTGGACAAGATTCCCATTTTCATTTCTGAATAAGATATTCATGCTCATTTTTGGACACACTGTTGATGTGACAGATATCCAAGTAATCAGATTTAGATAAATAAAAGTTGAAAATAAAACTGTGGGTTCCTGCACTACATTCTTATAAAATATTACTCGGAAGTATTACTGTGCAGCCCTATGGGGATTACAGGCATCCTATGGGAGAAATGCAGAAGGAAAGGATGCCTCAGCACTTGTCTCACTTTTCAAGCACGCAAAACAACCAATTTCAACTGTTTAAGTGCAGCACTTTGAAGTGTAATAGCACCAAGGTATGTTGTATCATGGCAGTGCTAGCCTCCTCCTGTCCTTTCAAAATACTCCCGAAAACTCTTTTTGGGTCATTCTTACCATCTCTGAGAAGCAGCTAATATTGCTCTTTCTGTACTGTGCGAGTAAGCGGACAATGTCCAAGTGAAGATCACCAGCTACTAGGCTACAGCAGTTTTTCAGTCTCATCATTTGGAATCCCAAAAAAAATATATGGCCATCTACATGCTAACTAGGAGTCATACAACTGTGCTGTTCACTACTCACATTGTGATGTTCTGACTACTAACAGTACAAAAATGCAATCAATAAAATTATAACCTCTCTACCTCAAGTATAAACATTTAATATTCAGAAGCTGGATTCCACTGATACTACAAAAACAAGAAACTGCAAGTTTTTCAGCCACTTTTTTCTGCGATGGGGGGCATAAAAATGCTTTAAATAAATAATAAATAAATAAATAAATAAATAATTGTTTTCCAGTTTTTCTCTACTCTTCACAGATCCCTGTATTTTTCCCAGAAACAGCTGTCAAATTTTGGATCTACTGAGCTTACTGCAGCCCACTTGCCTAACAAGTCTGTTAACTGGGAGTTCAGTCAACTTTGATTTCCATGCATCTGGAAGCCACAATGCATGGCCCTTGATGGGTCACATATTATGCAGGTCTGCTTGATGGAATTCCGGGCAACACAGCACATGACTTGAAATAATGAGAGTAATATGCAAGTAACTTACATCTTATTTCTATACTTCAGGGACCTTGTCTGAAGAAAGAACTGAAAGGGGAACAGCACATCCATGTCTCAGGAACAAATTTCCTCTTAGCACAAAACCACAGAAGCAGGGTCAAATGTTCTAATTACTAGCAAGTACTCAACTATCACTCTCACATACTGTGTGAAGCAATGTAAGAATTCTACTGAGATACAACCCCACTACTGTTTATATGGATTACTTATCCAGGGATTATAAAGAGGAGGCAAGGTTTCCATCCTGCCACATGCTGCTGAATCATTCTGAGCTTTCTTCAACCTCCTATTCACCTCTTGAAAGTAAAAACAGATCAGAGGCTGAAAATGCATTTAGGGCCTATTATTCAAGGATGACTGAACTGGCTGCACAAACACAGATAGCGGAGCTCATTTTCAGATATTAAGAGACACTCATTAAGACTAGTTAGTCCTTTGTTAGTTTTAGAACAGTTATGCCAATGCACACAGGATGGTTAACAAGTTAATCTATTTTTCTGAAAATGCATATACAGGCTAATTTACTGACACACCTTCAGAGAAATAGATGGAGCAACAAAATGCCACATGTTGTTAAAATGATGTCCCTATTTGTTCAGGCTAACAGCAGCATTAATACAACATGAAAGGAAGCAGGATCACACTGGTACAAAAGAAATAAAAGTTCTTTCATAAGAAAGGAATTTTCAGCATCCCCGTAACTTTCAAGCACAGCATACAGATGACATAAGCTTCATTTCATAATTAGAAAATCAAGTATTATGAAAACTAGAGACTGATGAACTATTAATTTTCTAAGAAAAGTGACTGACCTTTAAATTCCAACCCTGAACTATAATATTAGAACATACATCAAAGTCCATCTTCTGACTTAACTTATCCCCAGTTCAGGTATTACTGGGGCAGAATGGGAATTGATTTCCCATGATGAAGTCCCAAATCATTCCAGAGATGTCAAGAGGAACTACATGCGTGGTATGAATAACACTGCCCCTTCCCACATGGATATCATCTGGCTGATACTCACAACTGAATGCTAGACTGAAAACATATTGAAATTCATAATGTGCTTTCATACCAGTGTTCTGTCATCCTTTGTACTGTAAATTATTTTGCCAGTTACTTTTGCTTTATTTTTTTCTGAAAACAGGTCACTTGTTTAAATAAGCATACCAAGAATCCTGTCATAAGTACAGGATAAGTACTTAGTTATCTGTCATACAAAGGATTTGGGAACCATAAAATATAGCACTCTTAATCATAGTAAATATCCCTCCTTTATGTTATATTTAAAACGTAAACACTGTTTACATATTAATACAATATTTAGTTGCTCTGGGACTGCAGAGCTGAAGAGAATCATTTCCTCTGGGCAGATTATTTCAGGCCAGTAAGAGTTGTACGGTTTGGCTCACAAGAAAAAATATCAGAGTAAGGTATGTTGGACCGGGGACCTGGAAGATCTGGGTTCTAGCTTCCACCCCGCCATGAAGCTCACTGGGTGACTTTGGACCAGCCATTTAATCTCAGCCTAACCTACCTCACAGAGTTGGCGTTGTGTGAATAAAATGAAGTGGATGAGGAAAATGTAAGCCACCTTGGACTTCACACAAACAGAAAGTAGGTGAAAAACAAATGCAATTTAATATACAAATACCTTGGCTCCATCAACTGGCCGATGAAGGAGCAGCTGTAGGAAATATGCCTTCCCACTGCCTCCCAGAACACTCTGTTTCAACTAGTTGCCCTAGGATGTAGAGCTGTAGGGAAGCACACTCTGACCTCTGGCTTGAGTATGCATGCACTTATTACTTTGATCTCTGTGAATGCCTTGGGGATTTTTAAAATCAAAAGCTAGAATTTAAATCTTCTAAATAAACAAGGTAAAAACAAGCAATGAAATATGTGCCACACTGTATACCAGTGAGCTATTCTAAATTTACATGGTATGCCAACCATTAATAAGCTGCATACTTCACTACAGTCCTGTATATTTCTTTACAAAAAATGAGTATACATGTGCCTATAACTGAATTATGAAACACATTCCATGGCAACTCTAGGAAGAATCCAAAAATTGTTCAGAACTGTCACAATGAAGAGAATTAGAGCCTCCACTTTATCTTAAGGGCCACAGTCATATTTGAAGTTAGCTTGCCGATAAGGACAAACAAGCATGAGTTTAAGTGTAACTGTCATCAAGCTCAAGCACTGATGGACTATTTCCAAACAGATCATTGACAGCATAGAATCAGTTTGTAAGCACACTGTAGGAGGAAACAGGATGCCTTTGGAAAGATTATTGGATTTACATATTGCTGGCTATAAGAGTCCAACCTCAGAGAAAATCAAATGCTGTTAACAGCCCCATCTGCAGCCAGTAAATAATGAACCTGCTGTGGGACAGACAGTACAAAACAAGTCTAGGGAGTGGAGAGAGCAACATACCTGCCAATAATCCATCAGTTGCTTGTTGTTCTCATGCTCCCCTTCTCCCCCTTCCCCCATGTGAAACAACAGTCTTAGCAAACAGCTCACCAGAGTGAGATCTGCTGCCACCACCTTGTCTTGTGCCTTAGATTTTTTCTCTTTCCATGTAACACCACCACCAACACCACCACTATAAACCCAGTATTGGTATAGCCTGTGGTTTTCTTAAACTGCCAGTTAGCTCTTCACCATTTCATATAGGCTCCGTTCCCTCCTATTCTTTTCACCATTCAAACTCTATGCCAAATTGCTTCAGTTTTGAAAGGTGAAAATGCCTTCCACCATGGGGAAGTGATAAAACGAACAGGACAGGTAGAAAGACCGGGGGGGGGGGGGTTGGGTGCTACTTTGTCACAGAATAACTCGGAAAGGGGAGGAGTAGCCCGTAAGCACTGGCGAAGCGATTAACCCCGCAGGGACAACCTCTCCATTTTCATCCCAGAAGACTCGCTGAATGGTACGGGGGCTGACTCCCAAGTGACTGAGTGCCTGATCCTGTCCATGTTTATCCAAGCACGGCCCAGTGGGTTCTCCTGGGCTCATTCCTAGATAAATGCACTCTTGCTCTTGGGGTGCGGGGATGTATGTAGAGCGTTTCCCACTCCATAATTTTAAAAGATGGGGTGGCTGGTACCAGAAAGGGACATGCTGACCCTTTCTTTGACTCTTCCCTTCCTCTGAAGCCGGGGAAGGATTCACAGACAGGCCTCCTGTCTCCCACCTCCCACCCCAAATCCCAGGCTCCATTTACCCCTCATCCTGAAAGCACCCACTAGGATCGGAAAGAAAGAAACCGGGAGTCTGGAGGGAGGATCTCGCTGCGCCGTCCCCACCCCATGCCCAACTGGGTCCCTCCATTACCTCGGGTGAGATCGAGGGGGACGTTCTCCTCGCCACTGTCGTTCCGGCCTGTGTGGGGAAAGCGGGGAGGAGGAGAGAAAAGAAAAGGCGACCGGGTTAGCGAGAGGGAAGGCGAGGCTCGAGTCGCGGCGGCCGTGGAGCGGGACGCTGCGGCGGGAGTGGGGCGACCCCGTCCCCTCTCCTTCCCCCTACCCACTTCCCGGCAGGCCCGTAGGCCGAGCCCAGCGTTCTCCTCACCTCGGATACGGAGGTGCCTCAGCGAGCGAGCACGGAGACTCACCGCCATGTTTACAGCCCCGCAGTCACAACACCGGAAACCTCGCCCGATCTCGCGAGAGCACAGGAGCAGCCGCTCGGCGAGGGGCTTGCTCGAGCTCGCCCGGGGGAAGGCGCCGCGCTCGCAGCCGCGGCTGAGGGCGGGGAGGGTTGGCGGGCGGCCCCCACGGCTGGGCAGCGCAGGAGGCGCCCGCCGCGATGGAGCCGGGAGGGCGGCTGACCGAATGTATGGCGGCCGTGAGGAGGAAGAGGGATGTAAACATTGCGCCCTGCAGGGCTTTGTATTGAAAGCAGCGCTTTTGAACGGGTCCGGCAGTGCTCAGCGGGGAGCCCAGGGGGGCTGAGGCTCCCCGTTACTTAAACCGGGAGGGGCAGTGAGGGGCGCTCCAGACGGATCTCTCCCACCGAGGAGGAGGCGATCAAAATGGCAAATGCGGGTCAGTGTGAGCAAGGCCACCGTGATGCACGTGGAGGCAAAGCGATCCCAAGGATCTGCTGATGGGGTCTGAGCTCGTGTGACTGATTGAGAAAGGGATCTTGAGGTTGTGGGGTGCAGCTCGATGGAAATGCCAGCCCATTGTGCAGCAGCTGTGAAGAAGGCAAATTCTGCGTTAGGCATAATAGGGACACTCTTAAGATCAGAGCTGAAATGGTTATCCTGTGATTTCCTGTTTTTTAAAGCGTATTTAGTAGATGGTGAAGTGTGGCCTCTCTGTTGTGCAAATGTCTAAAAAAGATAAAAGTCACTAAATTATTTTCACAACTTTAACATATAATATAGTATGTGCTGTCACACTTCTAAGATGTGGTTTTTCTTTGAAAAGTGACTGGTTCTCTGAAAAAATTCAAATGCTTCCTGTTTACACTCAGCATTAATTTTCCCTTGACTACCCTAATAAAACTGTTTTTTAAACTTTTAAAATGCAGTGTAAAGGCAGCTAAACTAGATATTCTTTTTCCCTGGACAGCTGAAGACACTTGGAAAGAGGGATCACTTACTTGTGAGCAAGGTTTGGGATTTTTAAATAATGTTTCAAAAAGCTACAATGGAAAAACATTCTATTTGATCAGCACAGGTTTTTGGTATGCAGGTACTTTATAAGGATAGGTTTCTACATTTTTTTCTGATACCCTTAAATCCTGCCCCTCTGCACATTCACCTCGTAATTATTTTGTCAGCCATATATGTCAATGCGTTGAGCATTTCTCAAAACAAGGGAATCTTAAATAACAATGAAAAAGTTTGCTATGATGCAGTATGAAGGTTCTTCAAAAAGTTTCTGCACTTTTTAAAACTTTATTAAGAATTTCAAAAACAAATTACATCACTTTTCTACATAGTCACCTTCGTGATGTGTTTTTCCCAGATTTGTACCAACTTTTTAATGCCATCAGCAAAAAAAATATAAAATATATTTATAAAAGTGCAGAAACCTTTTGAAGACCCCTTATAAAATGGTAAGAGTGTGGGACTGGAACTCAGGAGAACTGGCTTCTAATTTGCATTCAGGTGTGGAGCTAACTGGATGATTTTGAGCCAGGCACAAACTCAGCTCAACCTTCTTCACAGGGTTGTTGTTCTGAGGGTAAGACAGAGGAGAAGAATTATGTAAGTTGCCTTGAGTTCCTGGAAAGGAAAAAGGCAGGATATAGATAAATAAAACTGTTTTCTTGTCCCAATTTTTCACCCTGTATCTTTGTCATATCCTGCATTGAAAGAGCAAAAGTTTCATGCCTGTAAGCAAAATCATTAAATGAACATTGAATAAGTGTTACATAAAACATTTTAAGTAAATAAATGCATAACATTAAAAGGGATTGCCTAGATTATCTAAGACCATGTGCTGTGCAGGATTTGACCAAGCATCCATCTAGTCCATCTTTCATGTTGCTCTTTAGTTACCCTTTTTTCTAAGCGAAACAATTCCAGATGTTGTAAGCTTTCTTCACAGGAGAGTTGATTCATCCCCTTCATTATTTTAGTTGCCCTTTTCTGCCCTTTTTCCAACTTTGCAATATCTTCCTCTGGGTGTGGTGACCAAAACTGTACACAGTATGAAGTTGATAGTTTTATTTTCAATTCCTTTCCTAATTATATCTAACACAGACCTTATCTTTTTCACAGCAACTACACACTGGGCTGACATTTTCATCAGGCTGTCCACCATAACCTCCAGGGTTTCTCTCTTTGTAATTCAGTGATAGCTCCAATTCTATCAGTTTATACTTGAAGTTGGGATTTTTTCACTGCACTGTGCATTATTTTCCGGTTGCATATGCTGAACCACATTTGTCATTTTAATGTCCATTCTCACAGCTTAGAAAGATCCTTTGGAGGTCCTCATCTTCTCTTTAACAATCCTAAATGATTTAATTTTAGCAAACTTGGAGATCTCATTGCTCACTCTTAATTCCAGATCTTTTATGATTAAGTTCAAAAGCATTGGTCCAAATATGGCACACCTCACCATTTACATTCTTCCTGTATATTAGGAGTTTCTGGTGAAGGACTTTGTCAAAAGGCTTTTGGAAGTCTGAATGAACAACACCCAGCAAATCACCCTTATCCACATCTTTATTGACAGTCTCAAAGACTTCTGAAAGAAGAGGTGGGACCTATCATTGTGGAAGCCATGCTCACTTGTTCTCAGAAGGACTTGTCCAAGATTATTTTTAATAACACTTTGAAATGATTTACCTGGGACAGACATTTAGCTAACTGGCCTGCAATTTCCTGGGTTCCCCCTGTATTCCTTTTGAAAAATTTGTGTTACATTGGTTATTCTCCAGAGGCTGATTTTAGAAACTTTACATATTCTTCTTAGAAGATCAGCAATTTTATATTTGCATTCTTTAAGAACTGTGTCCAGTGATTTAACTTTTAATTTACTGGTAAGGCTGAGAACTCCATCTTTTATCACCACTATTTGTCTCAGTTCCTGACTCCCTCCCTTAAAATATCAGTTCAGGCATAAATATCAGTACTGTTATCTTCTGCAATAAAAACAGATGAACAGAATGCATTCAGCTTCTTCACAATCTCCATAACTCCCTTTATGGTTATAGCATTGGTATATCCAAGGTTCTAGATGCCTCCCTAGCTGTTTCTCTGCTACTGGCCATCATTTGTATTGTTTTGTTGTTGTTGTTAGTCGCAAAGTCGTGTCTGACACATCGTGACCCCATGGACAACATTCCTCCAGGCCTTCCTGTCCTCCACCATCCCCCGGAGTCCACTTAAGCTCACACCAGCTGCTTCAGTGACTCCATCCAGCCACCTCATTCTCTGCCTTCCCCTTCTTTTGCCGTCAATTGTTCCCAGCATCAGGCTCTTCTCCAGGGAGTCCTTCCTTCTCATTAGGTGGCCAAAGTATTTGAGTTTCATTTTCAGTATCTGGCCTTCTAAAGAGCAGTCAGGGTTGATCTCCTCTAGGACTGACCAGTTTGATCGCCTGTATTGTTTTACCAATTTGTATATATCGCTCTGTATATAATTGAAAAAAAATCTTCACAGTAATTGTAATTTATTTTCTTTTAGCAAGTTTGTGTGTGTACTTTTAATGTGCAGATAAAGTCAATAGATCTTGAATCCAATTGTGTAAGTTTGGATTTTATATGCTTTTCAGTGTTGTACAGTAATACACTTACCCAATAATATGGTCTTACTGAACCATGCAGCATGCCTTTGTCAAATCCTATTTGCTTGAAATGTGTCCCACTAAGACATGGGCATCTTTTACGTTGAGTGAGGTTTCCAAAGGATCGTGTTGATGCTTGTAAAGACCTCAGGCCAAAAAGATATCACTATTGGGAAACTCTCTATCATATGCAATAGGTCAGCCTGTAGACAGTTATTTATCCACCACTTATTCTGTAAGATGTCTGAACTGTTTTGATATCCAGTGTGCCTTACATAAAATCTCTTGCTGTTTGAGGAATAGCCTGGGATCTTTGTTAGATACATTTGACAGATTTCTAGATTATTTTCTAATGGGAGAGCTTCTGTTTAGTTCCTAACTCTGCATTCCATTTTATCTTCAGAGATTCAAGTCTGGAGCAAGAGTATCTATAACCAAGCTGTACATAAATTTGTCAGTTCTAGTTAATGGAGTACTCTCATGGCCCCTAGACAAATTGAATCTTCTGTACCATCAAAGCAAGAACAAGAAGGAAGTAGGAGATGGGACATCTGCAGAATCCTAAGGGCTCTCAAGCTCTTGCCCTGGCAACATGATTCCACTAGACTGGCTCTCTGTACTCCTTGAAAACAAGGACAGAGAGAAGAAAATTGTTTCTGTCACTTCTTTCCTGCTGACAGCAGCCCAGAAAGGCATAGGATTTTGTCTCTGAGATAAGAGGCTTCTGTCTAGCAAGCAGCAATCCAGTAGGTTTGCATCCAAATCTAATACAACCTGTGCCATTTGTGAGAGGTAAACTAATCTTACAACAGTCCAAATGATTTGAATGTATTTTCATCCCTCTTTACTTGCCTGTAGCTCTTCACCAAAAGCATCTCCTAAAAACTAAGGAAGGATGTCTTTTGCTTCATAAATACTTTTTGCACATATGTAGATGGATGCACAATGATCAATATACCTATTGGTGCAATCAAATAAAGCTTTTATGATTAATTAACGAAAGATTTATCTGATCAAATAACAGCCCCAATTTTCAGGTATTCACAAATAATATCCACCAACTTTAGGCCATGGGTCCTCAAACTAAGGCCCGGGGGCCAGATCTGGTCCGCCATACCCATTTATCCGGCCCATCTCGGAAGTTTTGGACTCGCTGCGTGTGTGCTTGCACACATGGGTGGGTGCATGGCAAGGCAGCAGCTTGCTTGCATGGAGATCGTTTTGGACTCGCTTGGAGAAAACAATCTCTGCACAAGCAAGCTGCTGCCTCCCCCCTGTGTGCCCCCCACCCCTGCCTCATGTGCGCACCACCCCCTCACCGGCCCATGCCTCCCCGCCAGCACCGCCTTGGCGGCCAAGCACCCACTGCCAGCACCTTTCAACTGACCCCCTGTTGAAAAAGGTCGAGGGCCCCTGCTTTAGGCATTCACTGTAAAATATCAGAGGTTCATTGACTGCTAAGGGTGGGAAGATGGTAAAATTCAAGATGATTTGGACTTCTAGTCCCATATGCCCCTGTTATTGTGGCTAATGGTTAGGAAAACTGCAAGTTGAAGTTTGAAGCATCTGGAGACCTACTTGCTGTCTACCCTTGTGTAAACAACCATGGAAAGCATTTTCATGAATTCATACTAAAACAATATGATGACTTCATTATGCAACTTGTTTGATGATTCATACTAAACAATTCATGATTACTCAGATCAGTTTGCAGCCTGATTTTTATCTAGAAATTCTTTCCAAATTTGCAGTTTACTAAAATACTTTGACTGAGAAACCTAAGGTTAGAACTCCTCATTTCTCTTTCCCTGGCCTTGGCTAACAATATGGTTTTCTAGGATAAATGCAAAGAGGGAAAATGGACAAAGCTTCACTTGCTGTCCTCCTGTTGAATCCAGGTCATTGTTGATCACTCAACCAGACATTAATCACCAGTTCTGAAAAGGCAGGATGTGAGAATATCCCAAAGTCCTGATGTTACAGAGGCAACTTTTTGTCTTGGCTACATTTGGTTGCAAATGGCACAAGTGAGTAGCACCTTTCTGATTCAGATTTGTGATGTGTCTGGTTCAGCTAACAGCAGGACTGTGATTTGTCTAAACAGCTGGAAAATTTCTCTGTTCTTCCCACGCACAAAGATTTCCATTTGGGATCTTGTAACACCCAATTATCTCAATAGAAGTGCAGTAGAATCTAAATACATGGCCCAACCCTCTGGGAGTTCCCATTCCCAATAAGCACTGCTTATTGCAGTGCTCCTCCCATCTCCCCCAACTTACTTTATCTGGCCCAGCAACCAGAGGTTAGGGAACCTGTGACAGGTAGGTCTCTTTCTGCAGCAGGGACACACGTCAGAGAGAGAGATCTTCTGGAAAGCAGGGATGGAACAACTCAGGCCCAGGGGTCAAATTCAACCTGCCTATAGTCCAAATTGAGTTGGGTTTCCCCTGATGGCCACTCCACTTCCCCAGTCCCCATCCCGTTTCTAATCCCTGATCATTTGGTGGATTCCTAGCTTTTGCCCAGGTTTTTGGGCAAAATGGTGAAATGTTTCTTTTGAGGCTTATTTACTGAAAGGAAGAAGGTAAAACAGACTGGCTCTTGAACACTTTTACCTTGGGCCCTATTCCCTTTTCCCATCAGCTCCATCCAATGCTGGAAAGTGGCCCTCAGGAATTTCTGTAAACTTAAACTTGGCCTCCAGGCTAAAAGAAGTTCAGCACCTGGAGGAAGGGAAGGATGACATCTCTGAGTCAGATTACAATATCAGTTCAGCAGAGGGTAATGTCCTACTTGCCCAGTTTTGTAATTCTGACTCTCTTCCTTTCATTCCTGATGGCTCCATGCCAGGCATATGCTCTTATCAACTCTCTCTGCCTGCCTTTAAGCATGCATTCTAAATGCAGTGACTCTGACACCTGTCTGGAAAAACTTGTTGGTGAATGAAGAGATCCATTTTTAAAGACTGCAGTTTAGAAAACATGTAAGTGCTTTAATGTTGTTCAAATCATAAAAACTCTACAGAGAATAAAAACCGATGATTAATAGTATCCCCCCCACAAAACAAAAACAAAACCCACAGAAATCTCTTAGATTAATGAAATAGCATGTTGGTATGTTAAGTCCTGGAGAGTTCCAGGCTAGAATCTCAGTATGCAGCACAAAAGAAAACATTGTTGACAAATACTTAAATTACTTTCATGATCAATTTAAAACACACCAAAATACATAATAGAAGCTTTTTAAAAATTACCAAAGCATGGCTGTGACATCTTTAACAAACTGTCTTTTGGATGTGTTTGAGGGTAGCGCAAACATTCAAATCCAGCTATGGGTGTTCACACATGTACTCCGTCCTGTGGAAAGGTACGTACAAACTGGTGCTGCACACGTCGTATAGTTTCAGATCTGATCCAGTGGCTGAAGTCTCTTCACATGCATTCCTGGCCAGATGGTAGCACTGGAGAAGCTGGGACCTAATGCAGTCCTCTCCCCATTCCCTTGTCCCCAGGTCACTGTTATTGCTAATTATTGCACCAGCCTGTGTGTGGGTGATGTCTTTACTATTGCTGTTTTTCTGAAGTAAACCAACATGAAATTGTCACAACCTTCTCCAAATGCACCTGACATTTTAAAAAGTTAATGGATCACCTCAAAGTGCTCATTCTTAGCAGGGAGGGAAAGGCAAATCAGAGGAAAAGCAAGGGAGTGGAAGTACTTGGGCTGAAGTTCCAATCACTGTTTATCAGATCCAAAACTAGTCTGTTTGCCGTCTTCCTTCTGTCTATTTTCTTATCTCTGGGAGAGGTAGTGGGCATGTCTTTCAGAACTATTAGTTTAAACTCACATGCTTAGGAATTCTTCCAGTTTCAGTCCCTAGCTCTATACATTAAACTTGAGGACTGTGTATGCAAACTGGCATATATAAATGACTAGTATTAACATGCTTATATCTAATGCGACTACATGCAAAACGCATACACTAGAAAAATGCCAATGTTCTGCCTCATTTTATATTCCAGGGCCCATGGTCTCTCTAGTAAAAGTTGTTTTCATGTAAGAAAAGCATTAACCTGCATTTATATAAAATATTCCCACTGTGTAGATACATTTAATGTGTTTTTTAATTCAAGCTGTTCAGTGGTAAGTGTCACTAATCCCTTTGTGAGATGACACATGGTTAGCATGTACAAAACAAGCTGTTACGGTTGGTTTACTAATATGCCCTGCTTTCCTTTGAAACCAGTGCAGGGCCTGCTGAAGAGGAGCTGTAATAGGCCCAGGTCACTTCAGGTAGTGAACTTTAGAACAGGAGCCCGGGAATCAGAAGCTCACAAAAGTGCAATAATGCATGGTGTGGAGAAAGCGGAAAGGGAGAGTTTTTCTACCTCTCCAAAACACTCATACACGGAGTTATCCCATGAAGCTGATGGGTGGGATGATTAGAAAGATAAAAGAAAGTACTTCTGCATACAATGCATAAACTATGGAATTCGGTACCATGGGAAGTGGGGATGGCTGCCAATCCGGACAGCTTTAAAAGGGGACCGGACAGATCCATGAGGGAGGAGGCTATAAGTGGCTGCTAGCCTTGCTGGCTGTGTGCTGCTTCCTTTACCAGGGGTGGCCTGCCTGCATCCACCAGTTGCTGAGGAGCTTGGGCAGGAGGGGGTCTTGCATCCACCCTGCTTGAGGGATCTTGTGGGCAGCTGGTTTGCCACCACTTGTACCGAGTGCTGGGCTGGATGGACCTTTGGTCTGATGCAGCATGGCTTTTCTTACGTTCTTATGAGTGTCCCTCATTTCATCCTGGCACTAAAAAAGAGGGTATGTTCTTGCAGAACAAAAAAAAAGTGTGCGGGAGAGAACTGGCTGATTGCCTTGGTGATTTAACAGTGAGTGTTCTGCATCGTACTGAGGAAGTTCCTTGGAGGTGTGCCCCTGGTTCCTGCTGAGTAAAGCAAGGCACAACAGTTTCCATTGGGAGATCTACTTCACAGTCCAGGAATTAGTGGAATAACTTAACCAAATATATTCATACCTATATAACAACCAGTTCAGGTAACACAATTCAGTCTTAAATCAGCTGAGAGATCCAGAACCTCACATTGGGAAGATGTTTCAGCTAATCATTGTCGTATATGCAGCCTATTTGAGGGGAAAAAGAGGAAAATGTCCATTTTGTATTAAAACTGCTGGGCCTTGTAATTAAAAACAAACACAAAAACAATTGACTTGATCCTAAATTATTACAATTTTTTCCAGACATGTGCAACATACCATCAGCAATATCATCGTAGATTTCTTCATCTCTGTAGGTTTAGAGAAAGAGAAAAAAATCAAATTGGTTTAATTATTTCACATACATTAAGAAAAGTGGAAATGCTTTCTAGTAAGTCTATCTAGCTCTGTATTTTCTAGTTATAATTCTCTGCATGTTTTGACAGAAAAAAGGCCCACAATTCCCAGAATGTTGCAGCCATACCTGGGGCCAAATGTTTAAATGCTGCATTAAAGAGTCAAGTGTAGTATTAATTAGGTAGTAAGCAGCTGCCCCCCTTCCTGTGGTGCTTACTGTAGAATAAGAGCGTGTGGTGCTGATCCAGATTGGAACTACTACATGCTAGAAGGGAAAGGTTAAACCTTTCTCCCTGAGATGCTTGTTTCTCTCAGCAACTCCCTCAAAACACAGACTTCTGCCTGCAAAGCATGTACTCTGCCACTGTTATGGGCCTTCAAAAGCACTGTTTTCAAATTGGTAAATGGTATTAAGCACCCATCTGTGGGTGTTTACTTAGAATTAAATCCCACATGAATTCAGCTCATACATCAAAAAGGCAATTATTTTGTTTAGAAGCAATTTAAATATTTCAAGGGACATTTCTGAAGATAAAATGTGGGGAAGAAGATACTGGGCGATTGCTAATGAGATTTGTTGGGCCAAGCCTAGTTCAAATGACTGGAAGAAGGGCAAAGGGCAATGCTTCAGAGGACTCAGAGAATTCTACTTGAACTGGGAAATCACATGCTCAAATCCCTAATCAGTCACAAAATTCATGGGATAACCATGGGCCAGATAATGACCTGGTTTGCAGCTAATGAGAACAAATTGTGCATTAATTAACCCATGATTTGACAAGGTTGTGTGCTGCCGCTATTATTAATATATTACATCTGATGGCCTGACAGGAAGTTGCTCCATAATGTGAGAACACACACATTATGGGTTAAATGTGGGCTAAACAACTCAAAGTTAACCTAGAATTAGTTGTACAAATAATGTGCCTGGAATACTGGGTATGCATAATTAAGCCATGATTTGCTGCCTACTTTAAAAGTTTGTTGCAAGCGTAAAGTGGAGAGTGGGAGAAAAAATCATGCTGTCTTGAGAAAGTAATAAATAAAACTTGCACAATTGCCATTCATTTGAATGATGAACATTTCTCAGTGGGTTTTTTCCATTATTATTGTTATATGTTAATAAAATATGGAATGTTCTACAGATCATAAACATTGTCCTGATCAGAATAATCAGGAAAACACTTGTGTTTAGACTTTACAAAATGCTTAATTAATTTCTGCTAAATTAATAAAAGCAGATATTTTTCAGCACTTTCACTGAGTAGTATTCATTTTCTCTAAACCTAATTCAGGGGAACTATTATTGACAATTTTGTTTCTCCTAGTGAGTTTCAAGATAAAACCATTGTACTTACTCATTCATTATGCAACTTCTTTGGACATAACCATCTGTAAAATTATATGTACATAATTATTTTCAGTGTTAAGCTGACATCTTTCTTTTCCGCTAAGACCAGAAGAATAAAACTATAATTTGAAACTGCCAGTATTATACTTGGATTCTGTCCTGATTCTGTGAGATGTGTTACAATTTAAGAGTAATAAAAAATGTACTATCTTGAAGGAAGATCAGAGGTGCTTATAGACTGCATAATGGTCCATTTGTGGAATAAAAATCATTTAATCCCTCACCTTCATGGTTTCTGGATTTTATTTCCACATGTTAGAAAAGGAATTGTTTATGACATTTTAGACACATCACTCGAGGGCCTCTTCCTAACATTCTTGCAGCTCTATCTATGAACAGCTTGCCCAATATTAAGATCAAAAGCCCTTCTCTTTGGCCCACCAAGATGACCAGTAAGGTGGGCCAGTACTAGGCACAGGGCGTCTCAGTGGTGACACCTTTGGAATGCCCTCCCTGGAGAGACATACAATGGCACCTCAGCTCACGAACACCTCAGTTCACGACCAAATCGGGTCGTGAACACAAATTTCATAAAAAATTTGCCACAGGTCGCGAACTCTGCATCAGGTGATGATTGTGAGCGCGCCCACCTTCCCTACACAGGCACGATCGTGGTCATGCTGGGGGGCGGGGGGGGAGAAGGTCATGTTCGTGCTGGGGCGGGGGGAGATGGCCGCGATTGCACCCGTGTTCCCTGCCCGAAAACGCCCCCCCCCCCCCCCCCCCAGCGCGCCCACGATCGCGCCTGCCTCCCCAGCGCATCCGGGCCTGCCTACCCCGCCCCCCGAGCGCGTCCACGCCTGTGCCCGTCTCCCCCCTGGCGTGCCCCGATAGCACCCGTCTCCCCCCAATCCCCCGCAAGATCGCTGGGGGTGTGTGGGGAGATGCCCACGATCTTTGTCATTCTTTGTCACTTTGCTTCAAATTTTTGTGAGTAAAAAAATAGCTGCAGAACGGATTAACCTTATTTACATTGAACCTTATGGGGAAATTTGACTTGGCTCCCAACCAATCTGGGTCACAACAAGAGTCCTGGAACAGGTTTAGTTTGTGAGCCAAGGTACCACTGTATAAAGGTTTAGCACTACCAGGTTGTTGTCTTGAATGCAAAGCCTGGCGAGTAATTTATTCTAGGCTCCATCTGGTGCTTAAAAATCATTAGCTGCTGCTACTGCTATGCATGTATTTAAATGTAACTGCATATATGTTTATGTAACTTTTCAAGCCATTTGTAATATCAGAATACCCATGAAGGCAGGTTAAAACTCTCTGAAATAAATCAATGAATACATGTAAAAGTTCTCACATTATGCACAGTCCTTGGTTGTTTAACCTAGGAATTTGGTGGAGTCATGCAAGAACAAGCAAGTAAGTAATATCCCATATATTCCCATGTAATATCCTATGTTTTTCAACCAAATTGTGCTATCATTACATGCAATCCCAGCAGCTTAAGTTGTTTAGGGCTAAAGCTATGCATCAAAACCATGGGTTAAGACTCTGGGTTGTTCTCCAGCAACTGGTATTCTCAGGTTTATTAGCTCTAATACTGGGATAATATATAGCCACCATAACTACCAGTCATTCATAGCCATATCATTCATAAAAGGGGATCTGATCAGCTATCCCAGTTGGCAGACATCACTACAGCCTCCAGTGGCCAATTGCATAGTTTTGCTATGTGCTGTGTGGGAAAAAAATATTTTTCCTTCCTTTGATCTGTCCTGAATGTCCCACTATTCACTTGTAGGATAAGCCTGGGTCTTTTTATTATGGGAGAAGAAGAAATGTCTATGCATTATGCATACATTTATACTCCTTATAAAGTCCATCCCCACAGCAATGCTTCACACTTTCATGAACCTGTTTGTTCTGATTGTTTTATGAAATCAGAGGGGAAAATGGACATCCACTACTGCTGAATAGTGTGCAGAAGAGCTTGTGCATCTGGCCACTGGAGGTGGTGGTGGTGATGACACTTTAGAGACTTTTCTAAAACAAACCAACCAACCTTGGGGAGACTTGCACCAGAGACCAAACATTTAAAATAACTGAAAATGTAAAATAATTGAAAAGCAACAAAACACCAAGATAATGCCAAAACCTGATTAAAATGACATCAAGAAGCCTGTTCTATGCTGTCAAATGCCTGGGAGCAGAGTACAATCTTAATCTGATGCCAAAAAATTGAAAATGTTGGGTCAGGCAAACCTCCTTGGGGAAAATGTTCCACCACTGAGGAAGCCACCACCAAAATGGAACTCTTTGTTGCCTTCTGCTGTTGCCTTGGAGCAAGTATTCAGAGGAACTGTCCGCAGCTTCAAGAATGGATTATTATAGCAACTATCTTCCGAACTTCGCATTCTACAGCACTCCGTCCAGAAGTGCAGGAAATCTTTCATCTTGCAGTCAAAAACTTCAAGAAACATTGAGTAATAAAATAGCCCTCCTCCTTTTGTTTTTCACTATTCTCAAGAGAAATATTACTTGGAGGCTCCTGCTCTTCAGCACTAGAGTGCACCTCTTCCCTGATCTCTCTCTCTCTCTCTCTCTCTCTCTCTCTCTCTCTCTGTGTGTGTGTGTGTGTGTGTGTGTGTGTGTGTGTACTATCCACTTATACCAAAGTGTCATCTATGAGGATGAAGGGGTTGATCAGACTCAACAGGGAGGAGGCTATCAGTGGCTACTAGCTTTGTCGGCTCTCTGCTCCCTCCTTCACCAGAGGTGGTGTGCTTGCATACACCAGTTGCTGAGGACTTGTGCAGGAGGAGGTCTTGCACACATTCCGCTTGACCAATCCTGTGGACAGCTGCTTTGCCACCACATGTACAGAGTGCTGGACTGGACGGACCTTTGGTCCAACTGAGCATAGCTCTTTATGTTCTCAGTAGAAGTCAAATGTCACTACAGCAGCACAAAAATAAAATCTGGTTGTCATGTGCATGCTCTGAAAAGGCCTTGGAGGTACTGCATAGCCATTCTTTCTAGAACATACAAACTGTTTTTTTAAAAAAGGCTACACTTGGCTTACTCCTTTTAGTGTTTGTGACTTGGTTTCCCATCTGAGAAAGCAAGAATAATGCACAGCACCTTCCTTCCCCGCAGTTGCATTTAAAAACTGCAAAGCAAACATTCTGAGCCTGCTAATGCAACTCCCTTGGTGGCCTTTGAAACCTGAGTTCCTGTCATTTCTTTCAAGCCAGGGAAGATTTCCCCTTCAGCGAGGACAATACAGCAGTTTTACTACAACTCCCATGGGGGAATGAGATCATATTTAGGGTATTCTAATCCCTTTTTCCTGTCTAGCAAAAAGATGATTTTTGCCATTAGGAAAACCTTCAGAGCAAATCATTGATTTGTCAGTGCTATGGCTGCACTAAATTTACACACACACCCTTCTCGCATCATATTGCCTAGAGAGAACACTCTTCCTGAGGGTTAGTACACAACTCGGATAACCTAAGTTGTCTTTAGGTTTTGTGTTAGCTTTTGTGAAGTGAAATAGATATTGTAATATTGTCTGAATGCCAAAAGCTAAACCAGCTTTCCCCAACCTGACACCCTTCGGATGTGTTTGATTACAACACTCATCATCGCCACCCAGTGTAACAGCCATACTGTCCAGGAATGATGGGAAGTGTAGCAAAGGGCATTATGTTTAGCTAAACCTGAGCTAAAGCCACTGAAACATGTATAATTTGAAGTTTCAGCATGGCATTCATTATATGCCTACATCTCTATGAACTGGATTAGAAAAAGCCTTGCCCAAGAAGAAACAGGTGCCATTTGCATGCTGGTTAGGTTTGCATAGTTATCTTTTTCATTTTGATTATCATTTTACTAACAAAGTTTAAAGATGAGAGAGAAAAATAAAAATAACACTATATATAGATCTTTAGCTATATATAGCTGAAAAACACCAAGGAATCTCAAGCAAATACTGCACAGCGCATTAAAAACAAAAGATTTTGCTGTAACTCAGTAATCATTATCCTCTCAATCATATTTTTAGAACTTAGTTAAAATTAATTGAATTTTTTTCTAAATTGCAATTCTTCAACTTATTCTCTATTCTCCTTGAATCAAGCGTTTGAATAGTTATCTTCACTGGCCCACTGAGAGTGGGTAGTTGAGGTAGGTGACAAACCACCCAACCATCCTAATGCATTTGGGGTGATTTAACCACCGTGGCTTATTATCCACTCTACAATCATAGGTACCAGGTCAAAGTGAATAGGGCAGCTCCTTATGGATCACCCAAAAAAGAAGGCAACTCAGGATGGTGCTTTGCTTAATATTTACCTATGCCAGTTGATATGTATAGATGAAAATTTAGACGTCGTTATTATAATATACTATATGTACCACTCTAGCAGAAAGTGAAGAGGAATTAAAGAGCCTCTTGATGTGGGTGAAGAAAGAGAGTACAAAAGTTGGCTTGAAACTCAACATTAAGAAAACTAAGATCATGGCATCCGGTCCTCTCACTTCCTGGCAAATAGATAGGGAAGAAATGGAGGTAGTGACAGATTTTATTTTCCTGGGCTCCAAGATCACCGCAGATGGGGACTGCAGCCAAGAAATTAAAAGACGCTTGCTCCTGGGGAGGAAAGCTATGGCAAATCTAGACAGCATATTAAAAAGCAGAGACATCACCCTGCCAACGAAAGTGCGTATAGTCAAGGCTATGGTTTTCCCAGTTGCAATGTATGGCTGTGAAAGCTGGACCATAAGGAAGGCCGAGCGCCGAAGGATTGAGGCCTTTGAATTGTGGTGCTGGCGGAGACTCCTGCGAGTCCCCTGGATCACAAGGTGATCAAACCGGTCAGTCCTAAAGGAGATCAACCCTGACTGCTCTTTAGAAGGCCTGATGCTGAAGATGAAACTCAAATACTTTGGCCACCTAATGAGAAGGAAGGACTCCCTGGAGAAGAGCCTAATGCTGGGAACAATAGATGGCGAAAGAAGAAGGGGACAGCAGAGAATGAGGTGGCTAGATGGAGTCACTGAAGCAGTTGGTGTGAGCTTAAGTGGACTCCGGGGGATGGTGGAGGACAGGAAGGCCTGGAGGAATGTTGTCCATGGGGTCTTGATGGATCGGACACAACTTCGCGACTAACAACAACAACAACAAATTATAATATAAATAGAAATCCATTACATATTGCCCCATTATAGAAGACTGTGTGGCCAGGTGGCCTATGTGCCTGTCTGTTCACCCCACTGCTAACTGTGAGTGGCAACTGTTCTTGTAGTTCTTTAAAGAAGAACTGGACAGAACAGGACAGGACAGCCTTTTAAATAGAGAATGCACTCAAATAACAGACTGTCCTCCAACAACTCTTCAAGAAGAGGACTGTCCTCCTCATATAGCTTCCTTGCAAGGATCCTATTGAGAAAGATTTCCCAAAGTAGCTTGTAAGGGAGGGAGAAGCTCAACATCTCTCCCTAGGAAAAGTTTTATGTGACTCCCCACTGTTAAAAGCTTTTAGCCTGAAGCTAAAGGCAGGAGCAACTGTGCCTGGAGCTGTACTACCTACTCCTGGAGCTTTGCAGACAAATAAAAAGAAAGGTCACAGGCCCAGCTCAGCATTCCTCTCATTTCAAACTCCAAAAGGGGACAGAGAAGGATAACAGACAGGCTTATTGATGAACAATGCATGGCTAGGGGACCTCAGAAAACTAGGCTAAAAGTACCTTCCCGTCAGCACAGAGGCTGAGTAAAAGTACTTACTAGCAAGGGTGGAAATCTCTAGATTCCAATAATTTCCCAACTAAAGGAACCAAAATTTTATAATAGAACACTCACTCCAAGGATTGAAAGCTTTATCAGTTCTTTGTCTTCCTTCCTGAGCTATAATGCTTGCACATAACCTTTAATTCTCCATTCTGCAGTTATTTACACAGCCTGTGAAAGCACTTGCATCTCATTTATGCTTCATGGCTTTGTTCCAAGTGGATGTGAGTGAAATAAACAGCACTAAAGTGTGTTGAAAAGCATTTGGTGGTTTTTCATTTAACAAGTAGTGTTTTCATTAATTCTGAATTACTCAACCATCCTTTAGAAGGAATAACCTGGATAAAAATTAGCAACAGAACATGGGACCTAGCCAGGTTATATACAATAACAGAAAAAACTGACCAATTGTTCAGCATTCTTTGATGACTGACCTGGATGTGATAGCAGTCATCACCAGTAATGCCAGTTTAGATCCCCGTGTTCTTGGAAATACAAGAGGCTCTCAGTCCCTTGCTATCATGAATAAGAGAGTAGAAGACAGGACTGAATATGCAATTTATACTTACATTTCCCTTCTTCATTCCTACACAGGACTTTAGTATCATCCACGTTTTTAATGACCTCAACCGAGTCTCCTGGCTTAACTGGTAAGTCTTTGCTTCCTCTTTTCTTTGGAGATGGTGCTTGAGATATGGTTGTTTTATACAAAACTTGAATTTCACCTTCATACTGTGAAAACAAGAGCAATGATGGATGGCACATGAGCATTACAGACAAGGTATAATTCACCATTTAAGATTTTCTTGTTCCTTTTTGCAACAAGACATTTCAAGTTACCATATACTTTGGCAATCATCAGTATGTTGCTGTTCCAGGTATGGAGTGAAAGACCTTACAGCAAAAGTCATATGCCTGCTTGTGCAGCTAGAGTTGCAAGTTGTTTTGCTGGCTTAATTTCAAAAATATTGGCGCACCAGTACCTTGTGGCTTTGACTGGAGTTTATAGGTGGGGTCTCCCTTGGTGATCATGGGCACCAATGTGTCAGTGGACAATAGTTATTGTAACATGAATGTCTGCACTTACTCTGAATCAAATCCTCAAACTTTCTTGAAATAACTGAACAACTTCCCCCTCCAGTCAGAACATGGGGTTGATTTTCAGCATTTGGAATGAGGAAGTACCACTTTCACATATTGTCCCAAGGGAAATCAATATAAATATTTATTCTCTGAGGTAGATCTAAAAGTTCTTTGTAGTCAGCTCACATCATGTAACATTTTAAATTAACAGTGTATCCCTAGGTATGGCTACTAGAAAGTAAATTTCACTAATTCAACAGGCACCTACCAGGAGGCATTAATAATTCCAGCCAGACAACAGAAGCCTGTCCTATTATTCAGAAGAAAGTTCTATTTATTTCAGTGGGATATATTCCATGGAAGTAGGTTATCAAGCAAACCTGAATTCTCAGAGGTAATTTTGCTTATTACTCCTACCGACATCAAAACAAATTGCTCACAGCAAGTCCCATTGAACTCAGACAGATCTTCCAAGTGAGTGAGTGAGTGAGTGTGTGTGTGCGCTTTCACACATTTATTTATTTACAACATTTATTCACCATCCACATCTAACAGATGCCAGAGTAGTGAACCAATAAAAAACAGACACAAAGAATACAGCAATGTGTTAAATCAATGCAACTGGATGGTCAGCCAAAGAAGACTTACTGAAATGTTCTTCTGAAATGGAGGGGACAAAACAACGCAATGTTGGCCCCACCTAACTTCCTGTGGCAGGAGGTTCCAGAGTAATGGAGCTCCTACACTCCATGGGCCCATGTGGAAGCATAAGGAGCATGCCATCCAATGACCTGACCATGTGGGGTCGGGAGAGCATGTGTCTGCCTGTGAGGCTGCATTTAAAGCAGCATGCTGTATGCACACATGCTCAACCCTCAGCCCTAACAGCCCCCAAGAGGAGGCTCTGAGGGGTAACAGGTTGTGCACCCCCGTTCTAAGCAACGTTGCTTCAGATGGCTCTGCAGACTTTAGTCCAGTATTTAGGGAAGGAGTCCAGTGCTTTGTGTATGGCAAAGCTGCTGGCAGGAGCAGTCATAAACAAATGAGTAGGCTGTTTTAGGGAAGCAGGAAACCTGGACACTGGTGATCCAATAACCCAATGTTTTGTTTTTACTTTAGCCCAACCATGTAGGGGTTCAGCTTTTGAACAATGCTACAGCACTGGGACAGAAAATGTTTACTTCTTCCCCGGCCATTGTTTTTTTAGTCTACCCTGCCCATTTCCATGGCCTCAAGCACTTCATTGGAAATGTGGCCATGGAGGGCAAAATAAGAACAGAGAGTGATGTGGGGCAGAGGGATATGGAAAGACAGAGATTGGGCTATGTAAGATGGTTGGCATGGAGAGCAAGGTCTGCAAAGTGAGAAGAGAGGTGGGGAAGATTGGCACATAGAGAAGGAGACTTGGGTTGATGAGTTTGCTGGCACAAAGAGAAATCTGATGGTGAGTTTACTAACATATTTGCCTACTACGAAATGGGTATTTTGCTTTATATAAAATTGGCATTTATTGGAGCAGACAGCTAGATTCAAGGGAATGGGTATGTAATTTGGAATTCAGACTCCCACTTTTGTTGTGCTCAGTTTCCTGGGCCTTTGTCCTTTAGCCTAATCATTTAGCCTCCATTGGTGGGTACAGCTGAACTACCATGGCCACCATGTTTACAATGAGCCTGTCCTTATGGCAGTCATATTGTGATACTGCCAACAATACTTTCTCGATGTTCCAAATTCACCCATAGGCCCCAGAATAGACTGAGCTAGCCTGTTCTGGTGAATCAGCCTCATGAACTGTTGACTGGTCCTCCAGAACCTCTTTGTCCTTCTCATTGTCACTGCCTGTGTTATGAATCTGTGTAATCCAGGTAAGAGTGAATTTCTGCTGTTGACTAGGGGTTCTGCTGAGTAAAGCCTGAGCTGCATGGAGCTGCTCATTCTCCAGAAGCCTAGAGTGCTCCTGCATCTATCACCACTCCTGGATCCTCCAGGTGGCACTGGTGGACCAGAGGACTTTTTACCAGCTTGGCTGGTGTGCTAGTCGCATGCTTTTGGATTGTGGAAGGCCATCCTTCAGGACACTTGCTTGGCTTCTTAATGGGAAAAGACTTTGCTCAGGTGGACAAAGACTTTGTTCATCCAGGGAGCCTCATTAAATCTCATTACAGCTGATTATGTGATTTATGAAACATTAGATGTGTTTCTACTTTGGACTGGCATTTTATGCTATTTTAGTATTTAGGATTGTTTTCATGCTCTGTTCAGTGTTAGCTCTCTGAAGGCACTAGCAGTCAAAAGTCAGCATACCAGCAATTGACCAAAGGACTTACTTTAAACTTTTTCCGGAAATCTCGCTCTTCTTTCTCCATCTTTTTAAGCTTCTGTGAATCACGATCATCTGATCTGGCTTTCCCAAAGCTCAGGGACTTCGTGTTTAGCCCTATGCTAAAGCATCACATTGGAAAGAAACACAACACCCAGGATCATCAGTATATAGCTTTGGTAAACTTACAGACAGTTCTGAAACCACTTCAGTTCTGAAGCCTGATTAAAGGAAAGGTTTTATCTAACAGCAGTTGAACGTGACTGCGCACTCAACCCCAAAATAACCCTTGTATGTGGCATTGTTATCTGTGACACTTACCTAAGTTCTTTTGGTGGAGGAGGGAAGTCAGTTGGCTCTACATCATCATAGACATCACTTTCTCCAGAATCTAAAACACAAAAATGTTCATAAGCACAAAAAATGAATATCTAATAATCTACTGTGTATTGAGTGCCATTTTGCAGAAGAGGGTTTTCTTGTTATGCCAATTATAAACCAGTATCTTACATGATTTTTCAAATATTAATGGATTTGAAACCTCTTAAGAGGTAAACATTTACTAAAATAATCCCAGGTTCGTTATTTGGCTACATTAACCAAGCCTTAAATGTCCCAGTTCAGGAGCACCACTGATTGATCATGTATGTTGAACTCTGGCTGGATTGTGGCCACTGTTTCTGCAGAGGAACATTAGAAGATGTTGGTAAGCTCATGATGTTGGAGCCTAAAACAAGAGGCCACTAGGAAATGGTACAAAGAATGTAAAGAATTTGTTGAACCATGTTGCTGTTTGTTGGCCTTTGTCTTTAGAAGAACGTTAAAATTAAAGCTGTCAGGGCCTGCTTTCAAAAATCTCCCTTTCAACTGTCTCCGGGCAAAGCTATGCACAGCACTGAGCCCTTCCCTTGAAGCTGTGGTCAGTGCTGACCCAAGATATTTTGTTGTCTGAGGAGATGTGCAAGATGGTGCCTTCCCATTCCACACAGAGAAACTGATTGGACAGGCAGCTGAATCTTATTTCAGTACTGGCAATGAGTCAGAATCCTCCACCACACGTGGGGGCAGCAGACTAAAGGGGACCAGGCAGGCCATATGGCAAACTCCGCTCTGTCCTCCAACAGAGGGGGACAACCAGGGAACTACAGGAAGGACCACTGGAGAGGCTGTCCCCACTGCCTCCCTCACACCCCCAGTACCTTCTGCCTGGGAAGGCTGCCTCACTCTGCCTAATGCAAAGGCCAGCACTAAGCTTTCTTTTTGTAACTGGAAACGGCATGCACAGACAATCCAGTGAGAACCAGGGTTACACGGATGGATTAGCATTTCCCTTTGCCTTCAGTGGGAAGTTCCTACTGGTGCTAATGGAAGCAGCTAGGAGGGAAGAAATAGAGCAGCAGGATATTCTGATAACAGAATAAAAACAGGAAGAGGAGGAACAGGGGAAGAGATAGTGCTCCTAGGCAGAAGAAAGTTTCAGTGTGTAGTGGGGTAGCCACATTTTGTGAAAAATCCATGTTTTGTGGATTGTCAGGCATCTTACCATCTGTTGTCTGCTCACTGACAGACTCGAGACTTTCTTAAAAACAAATGTAGCTTCATTCCACTCGTGCTAATGCACATGAGCACCAACTAACCCTGGTGCTGGTGTGCCTTAGCACAGATCCCATCCTCATGTAAAAAACCTAACCATGGAAACAGAAAGCCATTCTGCTGTGGAACCCCCAGACTGGATCCACAGAAATCCAAACTTACCATGGTCTGGGGACAATTCCTTGAAGTGTGTGCCTTTTAATGCATAATTGTTTTAATTTGCATTTGTACTCCCAGAAGCCCCTGGGGACCATAAATTTGCATAAAAATAAGGCGCATCATTTTGCATTGGTGTCTTGAGGGGCAAAGCTGCCACACACACAGCCAGAGCAGCTGCACAAAGATCACGTTGCTCACCCATTATAAGAGCTCATTCAGTCTAAGAATAGCTAGCACTTTGATCTTACATACCTTTCCCTGATTGCTTTGCTGGAGGTATCCTGCCAGGAAAGACAAAAAAACACAAAATATATCCTTTGTTAATCACTTATTAACACTTACCATTAATCACGTATCTTATTCCATCAATTCTTCTTCAAGGCTACCAATGTTCATGTGATGTGCCTACACATATCCTAATGGCAGGAGGTTCTCTTATTTCTTAGTTGCTTGCCCTTTCCTAACTGGCATGATTTCTTTGCTACTTTGGGGCCTGCTTTTTCCCCCTGGAGGTTTGGGCAGTGTACCTGGGTCTTTCAGGCAGCCTCCCAGTCCAGGTTTTGGCTAGACCCAGGCCAGGTGAGCTGCAGTAAACCTGAATTTTCATCTGCCATTATGTCATGCCCTGGGTTCCTTATAACAGCCCTTGTATATTTCAGTTTCACATTTCAATATCTAAGGGCACAATCCTATGCATGTTTAGACAAGAAAAAGTCCTTAGGTTCCCTGGCCTGCCATACTGTCATTGGAGTGTGGGTTGTTGCTGGACCATGGTTATTGTGTTGTCTGAACGCAGCTGCACCATTAAACAATGCACCAACAAACCCAGCTACACCAACAAATCACATACAAGCCACAGTTCACAACCCAACAACAAATCATGGGTTCTATTGATGGGTTGTCTTCCATAGTTAAGAAACCATAGTTTGTTAATGTGGCTCCATTGAGACAACCTGATAACCCATTCAACAACAACCCATGGTTCAATGACAACTCGTGAGTGGGTTGTGTTTCCTGAACCCACTCATTATCTGTTTACACAGAGTCCCATATAAGCAGAGCATTTCTCTCTTTCACAAGTGGATTATCTTTACTTTTCAGCCTTTCCTGCCAAAGTGTACGGCAGATGTACAGGAAGCTGCCTCAGAATAGGTCAGACTACTTATCCGTCTAGTTCTGCATTCTGATTGGCAGCAGCAATCCAGGGCCCAGGCAAGGGTCTTTCTGATCCCTTTTGAACAGGAAAGGGATTTGACCCTGGAACCCAGCTGCAGGTACCCAGGCTATGGTCCCTCCTGCAGCAGGTCCTCTTGCACTGTAGTGGATCATTCCCCAGCCTAGTGACTTCCAAGTGTTTGGGACTTCAACTCCTGCAGAGCCTAATGGGAGTTGACTATTGGCTACACTGCTCATAGGAAATAGACAAGAGCCTTGGGAGTTGCCATTAAGAACGTATGGAAGGCACCAGGTCACTACAGGACATAGAAAGATTTGTACTTTGACATCTGTATGGTGTCTTCTAACACATTTCTAAGGGAATTGTATTAATCCTTTTCCATTCCAATCCATTCACAGACCCATTGTGATTTGGAAATGAGGCCCAAGGCAACACTGTGTTGCATTCAGGACCAGCTGCAGAAAATGCAGAAGAATTTCTGCTGGAGTTTAATTGTTCTTTGAACTGGAAACCCCTGATTTTTCTCAGGAAAACATGACGCTGAACATTTTCCCATGGATATTGTGTGATTCCTTAAACATGGGAAATTATGAATTATCCATCATGGGTAAAGTTGTATCACATCAACAAAATAGCTGGAAACAGCACAAAAATTGGGCCATGGTAAGCTTTTCAGACATTGTCCCAAGACGTTTTGCTGCCTGAGGCACAATCCAGTGGAATCCTCACTTTCTGCTAACTAGCATGGATTATAATCCACCAGGACACGGTCTTGTGCAAACCCAACTGAAATGAACTGGATCCATGCAAAGCCAGGCAACTGAGCCCCTGGGTCTGAGCTGTCTGCTTCCCATTCCACCACCCATGGCAACACTGCCTCAGCTGATACAAAACTATGCCTTAAGCCAGCAGGTAGTCAAGGCTAGAACATGGCCCAACTTTCAGGCATGAATGATATTTTCATAGCTTGGGTTAATCTGATCTGCAGTTTGATATGTGGCTGGTTAGGCTGCTGTGAGAAGATGTTAGTAGCAAGTAATCAGTAAGTATATTAGCTATTAGTTTTAGTGAACTGCTTTTTTCCTTTGTTTTGTTTGATTTTTTTTTTCACAGCAGTCTCTTACAAGGAACCTTTGTTTTGTTCCGTCCCATTGACTTTAGTTGTTGACTCTCGTACACTTTTCTTTTGGTAATCTTTTCCCTTTAAAATCTTCAAGAGGCCTCGGGGCCAGGAGTCACTCCTGTCTTCATCCTGTGACACAGACCTTTGGAGTATGCATGCAATTATCACATCAAAAATAAAATGGAAAATGTTTGAAAGGACTTCTCATTCATTTCACTGACTCAGAGCAGTCAAGCAAATCTCCTTCTGCAGAGCCATTTATACATGACAGACTTTAGGGTCGCTCCACACTTAGCACCAAAAACGTAGCTGTATGTACACTGGTCTTTCCAGTCACAAACATGTGAAGTATGGACATCATATATGGACATCATCTCAGCGGCTTTCGATACCATTGATCATGGTATCCTTCTGGACAGGCTGGCTGACTTGGGAGTAGGGGGCACTGCGTGGCAGTGGTTCCACTCCTATCTGGCCGGCTGATTCCAGAAGGTGGTGCTGGGGGACTATAGCTCTGCGCCATGGCAGCTTTGCCATGGAGTCCTGCAGGGCTCTATTTTGTCCCCCATGCTATTTAACATCTACATGAAACCGCTGGGAGAGATCATCAGGAGGTTTGGGCTGTGGAGTCATCAGTATGCTGATGACACCCAGCTCTGCCTCTCATTTACATGTGCTCCAGGTGAGGCAGTGGCTGTACTGACAGAGGTAATGGGCTGGATAAGAGCCAATAAACTGAGCCTCAATCCAGAAAAGATGGAAGTCCTGTTGGTGGGCGGTGTTAGGTCTCCAGGTAGGTGATTTTGACCCAGTTCTGGACAGGGAAGCATTCCCTCTAAAGGACAGGGTCTGTAGCTTGGGAGTACTCCTTGACCCAGAGCTGTCACTGGAGTTCCAGGTGGCGGTGGTGGCAAGGAGTGCTTTCCTACAACTTTAACTGATCCATCAGCTGCATCCTTACCTGGATGAGCACTCCCTAGCAACAGTGATACATGCTCTGGTAACTTCCTGCTTGGATTCCTGCAACGCGCTGTACGTGGGGCTGCCCTTGAAAATGGTCCAGATACTGCAACTGGTACAGAATAGAGCTGCCAGGCTGCTGACGGGGACCGGCTGTTACTCTCGCATAATGCCGGTCCTCTACCACCTCCACTGGCTTCCAGTTGAAGTCCAGGCCTAATTCAAGGTGCTGGTATTGACCTATAAAGCCCTAAATGGCTTGAGACCAGGATACCTGAGGGAACGTTTCCTTCCTTATATGCCCTCACACCCCTTAAGATCTATGGGAAAAGCCCTACTCCGGGAACTCTCTCTAAGAGAGGTAAAAAGGTCATCAACTCGGAGTAGGGCCTTCTCTGCTGTGGCGCCCAAACTCTGGAACGGACTCCCCAGAGAGGTAAGCCTGGCACCAAGTTTATACTCTTTTCGGCGCCAGGTCAAAACCTTTGTATTTAAACAGTATTTTAAAATCTAACAACTGTTAACCTTTAGTCGCTCTGTTTGCTTTGTGATTTATTGTTTTGTTCTGTTTCTATTATTTATTAGGAATTGTTTTTTTAATTGTTCTTTTAAATATTGTAAGCCGTCCTGAGATTTTGTATAATAGGACAGCATACAAAAGCTTTTAATAAATACATACATACATACATACATACCCAGGCATTTGTATGTTTTTGTTCAGTCGCGAAGTTGTACCCAAACCATTGCAACCGAATGGACAACATTCCTCCAGGCTCTTCTATCCTCCACCATCCCTCAGAGCCCACCCAAATGAGAACTGGACATGGAAATACTGACTGGTTCAAATTTGAAAGGAGTACGTCAAGGCTGTATATTGTCCCCCTGCCTATTTAACTCATATGTTGTAAGCCGCCCTGAGATGCTTTTGCATATAGGGCTGGGTATAAATATTTTAAATAAAAATAAATAAATATGCAGAGCACATCATATGAAAGGCCAGGCTAAATGAATTACAAGTCAGAATTAAGATTGCTGGGAGAAATATCAACAAGCTCAGATATGCAGATGATACCACTCTAATGGCAGAAAGTGAAGAGGAACTAAAGACATCTGTATGTATGGTTTTAAAGATGTGAGCATGACTGGCAAGCCTATATGCTGGAGACTCCATCCTCTGCGGATGAGGTTACATTCGCAGAGATGGATGCCACTGACCCTCTGTGGCAAAGGACCAGGAGGAACCTGGCCTCTGGGGTAAAGGCTGTGGGGGACCTGAGCAACCCCTTGTTTGCCAGAACTGTCATTGCTCAGGTGGCAGGGCAACAGGAGCATTTGCTTGCTGAAAAGTATTCCTTAAGGTGAAACAGCTCCTCAGAAGTAGAATCCTGATGGACTGCAGCACAAAATTTATACAAAATCACACCCAACACAATGAATTCTATAGTCAAATCAAATGACATGTCAAACAGTATTTTATAAATTATTCATAAATATTTTAATAAACTCTTTATAAACTATCCTGCCTAACAGTTTTCTAAGTTTTTTCCACTATGAACTAATCAATCTCAGTAGCCTTGTCTTCATTATGACATGGAATTTTCATACTTACTTAGCTGGAATATCAATATCATCCTCAACTCCGTCATAAATGTCATCAGCTGGAGGAGGAGGAGGGAATCCTATATGAAATTTGGAGAAAAACAGGGGTAAAACCAGCACTTGGTTTCTTCAAAGATCTATCTATCTATCTAGTAGCCAGAAATTCTGCAGTGAGGGAGCAAGGAATTGGCCAGACACGTGCCCCATATATGTGTACACACAATAGAAAAACAAAAGGAGAGGAGAGGCCTTGATGTTGCCCATTGGTGATGAGCAGTTGGACAGCAGGTGGAACATGCACACAGGTAGAATAGTTACCATTTATTTTAAATCTGCAGCTATAAACACAAAAATGCATATGCAAATATTATGGTGTCCTAGGAGGTGTAAGTGATTCATTTCTGGGGGGCGGGGCTGTTGCATAAATGGTCACCTTAATGGGCTTACTTAAAGGTAAGTGGATATAGGATTGGAATCTAAATTATATGACTTCTCAGGCAGTAATTGGTAGTTTATAAGAAGAATCCTGCATCTTTTTCCATATAAATCCACAGCTATGGACATACACCTGTGCATATTTTGCCAGAAAAAGGTCCTGTAACTTCCAAAATGCCCAGCAAGCATGGCTGACTGAGACATGCTAGGAACTGTAGGACTTTTTCTGTCTAAATTTACATAGGATTGTATCCCCAAATGTTCATCTTTTAGGAAGGACCTTCACAGGTTCCCTTTAGTTACAGTTCTGTAACTGACCTGCCTTGACTGGAAGTACCACTCCAGCCAATAAACTCAGACTGGACTATTGCAAAGAAAAAGGAAGGCTGTAACCATGTGGCATACCTAAGACCAGAATTTAAGCACCTATTCTGAAGAATAATCCTGTCAGAAAAGTCCCGCCAGGAAGAAATTCCAAAGGCCCGATGAATAAAGGAAGGTTTTTATAGCTTTTCTTGAATGAAACCTAAGAGAATGACTTTCTTATGGGGTTGTTCACCAACCTCAAGGCCACGAATAGAGTAAGTAGAAATAGTCATGAATAAAAAGCTGCCATATGTTAATTGCTGTTAATCAGATCTAGCTCTTCTGAGCTACTTCTTAAAAAGTTAAGGATTATTACCTCTGATTTACAAAAAGGGTGGGTATTCCCTTTGAAGAATAAAGCTATTTATGTCTACATCTTTAAGAGGACAAATATTTTTGGATCAACAACTGAACTGAAGAGGACGAGAGACTGAGGTAAATGTAGCTTTTACTTCCTCATCTTGGAAAATGTATTTATTTGGCCTTAAAGTTCATAGATGAACTTTAAAATGGATATTGGAGGAAGTATTAAGAAAGTCTGAGGTAGAATTTCCCAGCTTGGTGCCCTGATGTGGTGGAACACAACTCTGAGAATGGCAGGTCAGGGGATGTTGGGAGCTGTAACTGAACCCTCTGGAGGACATGAGGCTGGAGCAGGCTGGTCTGGGGATTTATTTGATAGTGTCGATGGACAGCTTGGAAATTGCTGGTTTTTACTATCGGCTCATGTAACTGAGATGTTGACAGCATCTAAGTTCTGTTTTTTGGTCATGCTAGATTGTGATGGTATCTTGGGAGCCAGGTGACAGAGAGACAAACAGATCTTACATAAAAACTTGGCAATAAAAGCAGAACTTACCTCCTGTGGCACTTTGACCTCCACTTTGAGCATAAAAACAAAAATGAAAAGAAAATGTTGAAGACAAAGAAACACACTCATACAAAAGTTTGCTACCTTAAAAACATTTGGTGGGAAGTAGGCCCAACTGGATTCAGTGCTCATTACCGCTAATCTTAATATTGTCCCAATACAGATTGGTTTGCACATGATTTTTCTGTCCTCAGAGCATAATTCACTGATACCATCTCCTTCTGAGTGAACCTCTCATATCACTTTTGGATGAAAGACTTTGTCCCAGCTGCCTTCTTTCTGAGAGGTAAGACTTAAAGGCACTTGGGCGGTGGCTTTCTTGGTGGTGACATCCCTGCTGTGGAATACCTTCCCTAAGAAAACATACAGCTATTTCATTGCTGAATTTAAGGTGTGCTGTTAACAATATTTTAACAAATTCTTGTACTTCATTTGGAGCTTCCATGGGTAGTCTATCATTCTCTCTCTCTCTTGCACTCTCACTCCACCCTCCCCCACGGTTTGGTAACTGTTTTTGTTTAGATTGGTTTATCGTTCTTTCTTTTCTTTTTTCCTTTTCCTTTTCTTTTATTGGAGTTAAACCAGCCATCACTCCCCAGAACACAATACTTAGTGACTGGGTTCCTTTGGTTAGTCTCTCTTTCTGTCTGAGCCTAACCTACCTCACAGGGTTGTCTTCAGGATAAAAGGTAGAAGAGTAGCATACACGTACAACCAGAAGCTCTGGGTATTGCTTGAACAATACAGTGAAATAATAAATGAATGTTTTTTTAAGCCTAAATGTATTATTATGATACAAGAGGCATTCCAAACAACAAATAACAACAAATGAACTTTTGACTTTGTATGGGGTAGTTCAAATCTTAGATTGGGACTTAAGAGATCTGGATTGGAGATCCCCCACCCAGCTATGAAGCTCACTGGGTGACTGTAAGCCTGTCACTGACTTTCAGCATAACCTACCTCACAGGGTTGTTGTGAAGATAAAATGGAAAAGAGAAGGAAGGAGATTTGCATAAAAGGTTCCTTGCAGAAAAAATACCTTATAAATTTAATAAATTAATTAGCAAATAAAAATTGACGGTAAGGCAGGAAACTTCAGAAGCGACAAATGAATATGTAAACAAATAAAACCAGTTTGAAAACAAACAAACTCCTTAGTAAGTATCTGTCCTTAGTAAGCCTTTGCTGCTGAATTTTCACAACATACTGATTTTTCCTTTTCTACCTAATTTATTTGGGTGGGGGAAGCAGAATCAACACAACAAGTAGGACTGCCATGAAAATCACACTAGAATGGTTAGCTGTGGCACGATCACCTGACCTGCATCCCTTTATGTTTCTGGTTCGGACACACCTGCTTATGCTGTCCTGTTCTCCAACATCGTCATACACCTCTTGGTCACTGTCTGGATGCTTTGGCTGAATGCTGATGGAGGGTCGTGGCTTTCTTCTTAAGGAATCATAGTCAATGTCTACCATGGTCGTTTTAATGTAGCCATCTAAAAACAAAATAAAACTCCAGAGCATTTGTTGACCATAATACAGCTGTTTTATTTTAGAATTCCACAATCATGAAAATAACTGCATTTAAAAAGGAAGCAACTTAAGAACTAAAAGAGTTGCAAGTTTTGTTGTGATGCAGAAATGGTCAAGAGAAAAGAGATTTTCCACTTTCTGATAGCTATCATGTCTCATGCTGTCTTACATGCAATTGCTAATGGCAAGTCTAAAGCCAGTGTTCTATGTACGAATAGATTTAAAATTCAGTACAAGCAAAATAAATTATGGCAAAAATTATTGCCTTGGTTTTGCAAACTATTAGGTTTTGCAAACTCAGGTGATCTGGGTTCTAGTCCCCACTCAGCCACAGTCCCAACTGGGTGACTTTGGGCCAGTCACAGACTCTCAGCCCAACCTACCTCACAGGGTTGTTGTTGTGGGAATAAGATTGAGAGCAGGAGGTAAGCAGGAGAAGGTGGTAAACCACTTTGAGTTCTTAGAAACAAGAAAAAGGCAGGATATCAATCTAATAAATAAATACATAAGTAAGGCCTTGTTCTCACAAAGTGGCACGTGTGCTTGGGCTGTGTCACACATATTGGGGGTGACTCATGGGCACAATTGTTCCTTCGTACACAAAACTCCCTGAATGCAGAATGTTAGCATGTCAGGGAAATGGCTAGGCTAGAACCCTTCTCCCAGATATCCTGGCTTTCTGTATGGAAGGCATTATAATTATCATTATGGGGAAACATTGAATCATGTGAGGCCTCATTGCAATTGGAAGCAAGACAGGCTAGATACAGCTGTATCTACAGAAGTTCTGTAAACACAGAAGTTTACAGCTTCAATGTGAGCTAAACAACACATTCTGCAGGGCATCTGGAACTGAGAGCTTTTCTTCCTGAGGTTGTTAATCCACTGTATCTACTTTCAGTTTTGTGGAAGAATTACGATCCAAGCATGCTCTCATAAAGTTTTTCCTTTACTGCTTTTCTACGAAATAACCTTCAGGAGGCACTGCGATAATATGGAATAGCACAAATACACAAGTGGAAATAGTTTTTTTTTCTTGCTCTGGATCTCCCAGCTTTCTTCTTCTTCTTGATAGTTTAACAAAGTCTCTAGGGGAGCTCTGCATTTGATTGGACAAGTGGTGCTGGGGAGAGGGGTATTATACCCGCCCGCCCCTCCCGCACCATTTCCCCCAACTACAGTGAAATATGATCCTTGCAAGAAGGGCTAGCAAAGGCTTGGGTAGCATTCGCTTCTGAATCCCTGGAGGAGCCTCCAGCATTGCACAGGGCTTCAGCTGCCTTCTCTGCGACATTGCATGTGCCAGCAACACTTCTGAGCCAATGCACCATGGGGTGGTCAGGAGTCCCATCTCCACATTGGAATCCCTATATTCTGTGGCCACATTGAAGCAAAAAGCACAGACCTAGGGAATTCCCTAATTTTCCTGAGGAGGCTTCCAGGCAGAGGAGGGTTCCTAGTGCGGAACACTCCTACATTTGCCTTCTTGTTTTTCCTTAACAAATTTTAAGGAGAACCCCGGAGGACTAAATGGAAGATGATGACACCTAGACCTTGCATAACATGCCATGAATGAATGAAGCAGTGTGATTGCACAGTAAAAGCCTCAATTGGAAACTCACTGGAGCAAAAGGGAGCAAAAGCAGACCTCCTCCCATCCCTGATAAGGATGTTGTGATCTAGGTGTCTCTGCGTGAATGCAGACTATAGTTTTGAATCAGGCACAGAAGAAGAGACAGAGTGCAGGGTGCATTCAACAAGCATCCTGGGCTGCTGGCTTGAGCTCTTGGGTGTACTCTTTGGCTTGCTGAGATGTTTAAGATGTGCTTTCTGCCCAATACAAGCTGTGTATTTACAGGGTTATATATTACAAAACTCCAACTGGCCTGCAGTGATCTTCATCAAAGGAAACAAAACCCAGAAAAGTGCTGCACGCTGGAATGTCTTACCTCTCGCAGAAGTAGGGTGAGAGGAACAATATTTTATGAACCAATAATTGGTTATGCAGAAGCCTAAGTGCATTTCAGATTTTCCAGACACGGAATGAATTCAGTATTTGTGTACACTGCACTTTAGCATTAAGTTATACTGATTGAATACATTAGCATAAATTCACTTAATTCTATACTTTATACTTACAGGAACCTCTTATTCTTCCCAACCATTTCCCCTCTGGGTTGTCTGTGATGCGGATTATTTCAATTTGATCCCCTTGTTTAAATGCCAGATCATTCTTTCCTCCTTTGAAGTCTGTGCAAGCTTGTGCCCGGTGAATGACCTCAATGGGACCCACTAGCTACACAAAAGGAATGCAAGATATGGATGTGAACATGCAGTAGGCTTATGATTATGGCTTCAGTAGGGGCCCATGTTTACTGTTTCAATAGAGAGAGAAGGCAAGCCACAACTTGAGGACTAGGCTGATTCAGATGCAAGGCTAAACCACAGTTTAGTGTTATGAATATGAGCATAGTTTCCCACCCTCACCTGCCCTACCCAACCCTGCCCCCAGGTCTCTGCATTCCCGGAAACTTTTTTAGGGTGGCCACAAGGACTTCAGGGGTGTTGAGTTTTTGATTAACCACTGCTTGTTGCATCAGCCATACCTGGACAAACTGTGGTTGGTACCAACTATGGTTGTCTAAGCAGCACCAACTTCAAGGGAAGGCATGACTGGGCACTTGCTAAAGGCCCACCAACAAGACCCTCCAGGATTTGCCCCTCCTTTTCGCCATTGTCACATGTCTTCTCCTGCCTCCTCAGACAGCGGAGGTGATGAGAAGGGAGGCAGGAGAGGACCCTGGCTACTTGCTCCCAGCTCTCTGCCTGTCAAGCAAGCAAGTGGTGGCAGTGATGAGGAAGAGGCTGAGGAGCAAGTGCAGCTGGTGACCACGCAGTGAGAAGGCAACCTCACTAAGCGAGGGCATCCACTGAAGGTGACTTGTCCAAGGGCCCTCAAAAACCGGGAGCTGAAGCCAACTTCAAAACTTAGTTCATACAGCTGACTTGTTTTCAGTAACTGTAATAAGTTGAAAAGGCTGACTGATAACTGGAGTCATCACAGGGACAGGATGTGTGGGTGTTCCTGCAGATCCCAACTTCAACCAGAGATGACAGTATTGGAGGTACTGAGATGACAGTATTGGAAGTTCCAACACTGAAAACTCCAAGTGCAAGCACCACGTTTATGCAGTCCCTCTGCAGAATGTTCCACCCCAACTTCTTGATTCAGACTGTTCAGTTCAGTGGGCATGAAGACATTATGGATACAATCTGGAAGGCTATGTACATCCAGTGAAGTGTGTGAGCAGTACAGAGGCAAGCATTTAGACAGCTGATTTCAACCACTGACCTGCTCCTTCCACCCCACCCCCGAATGCCCCCCCCCAAGTGCCTGTACCCAAGAGGGCTGTGCTGAGAAGACAGAGTAGACCCCTTCCAAAGGTGGCTTCTCTCCTGGGACCTCATAAGCCTTTTCCAAAGTCACATCAGGGACTCCTTGTAATGCAGATCACCAGTCAGCATCTGCTGGCCATAGGAATATTCCCAAATCTTCTATATACATTTACTTCGGAGTAAGTCCCATGGAAGCCCATGATATCTAATTTCCAGTAGCCATTTATAGCATGACACTGTAAATATTGGTGGTATCAAGAGTGCCTAATGGATGATATTTGTCAAAGCTAAAAGGCAGTGCATGCATTCATATTCAAGTTATTCTTTGGAGAACCTGCTATTAGAAGGCACTTACTTTGAACTTCTTTCTGATGTCCTGCTCTTTCTTCTCTTTTTCCTTTTGTTCTTTCTTCTCTTGATCAGCTTTTTTCCTTTCTTCTTTCTCTTTTTTCTTTTCTTCATCTTTAGATGTATGTCTGCCAAATGAAAAAGGATTGATATTTCACTCAAAACTCTAATAGACAAGTCTCTAATCCAAAATGAAGAAACTAGGGTTGCCTGGAAATGTTGAAAGTGATATATAAATATGATTCCATCATCATCGTCTTTCATGGTATTTGCAATTTGTGAAACTTTGTCTGGGGGTGGAGTGGGGGTGGCTTGAGATATTTTCAGGGGTGGGTCTCAAAATTTTCAGGAAAAGATACTTACTTAATACCCTTGGATTGGCTTATAAGTGCCATCTTTACTGTCCCCAAATGCTCTGTTTGGAGGATATGCAGAAGAAAAAAAATAGCCACCAAAAGAAATTGTTTATATTTTATTGTGCTGGTCACCAATGCGCCCTCCCCTCAACATCATGCACTGGGGATACAGTATGTTTTCCTCTCCACATGCATCCTCAGTCATTTTTATTCAAACACTATTTTAATTGTTAATATTATTTATTTATTTTATTTTTCAGGCCAGGTCAACTCATATTATATTGTTTTATACTGTTCGTATTTATTTATTATTGTGAGCCACCCCAAGGCTTCAGCAAATGGGGCGGCATCGAAGCCTTCTAAATAAATAAATAACATGGGAAGTGCTTTAAGCCCCCTTTTCACCCACAATTCTCTCCACTTCACACTTAATCTTTATTTATTATATTTATAACCCAGCTTTTTCCTTTTAAGAAACTCAAGGCAGCTTATATAATTCTTCTCCCCGTCTCAGTCTTGTCCTCACAACAACAGCCCTGCAAGGTAGGTTTGGTTGAGATTCTGTGGCTGGTCCAAAGTCATCCAGTGAGTTCCAAAGCTGAGTGGGGACTAGAACCCAAATCTCCTGAGTCCCAGTCCCATGCTCTTAACCACCACACTGGCTCTTAAGCTTCAAAACTTCTTCATTTCAGCCTTAATTGAAATATTCCCTACACATCAATAAATCTAACAAAATATGGACTTTAGCAAGTTTCTTCTTTGAGAAGATCAAAAGTCTAATTCTGCATCCTCTTCCAAGAATAAACAGACAAATATCCCAAGAAAACTTAGGGCCAAGCTGCAGGTGATGCAGGAATCCTGCTACTGGATCTCCTCGGATTCTTTAAGCCACTTAAAAGCAGCTTAGAGAATGGGAAACTGATCAGGCCTGTGGTGTTGGCAGAAAATGCAGCTCCTTGCTTAGCTGGGGAGCAACGTTGTGCAGGTGCACAGCCCCAAGTGGGGAAGAGGAGAAAGATGGGAGGAGGCAGCCTCCCCTCCATTGTGACAAGGTCGAAGCTCAGGAGAGAGTCGGAGCTAGACAGGCTAGTGGGGGCAGCACTTTGCCGACGGATGGAGGAAAAACTGCTAGCTCAGCCCTTGGAAGGCTTATGCAGAGGGGCCTCCCATGTGGCTGTGGCATCAGAAGAATTTTACCTGGCACCACAGTTCATGGGCTTTGCCTTCTCCATTGCAAGAATATTAAGCCAGTGATATAGAGTGGATTTGCAACAGTATGACTGGCATAACTGCAGGATGAATTACAGAGTTAATCAATTCTTAGTCATAACTTGGAAGAAGATATGGAACCACTGGTAGGGCAGAGGGCTTTGGGCTCTTAAAGGCCCTTGCCAGATGGCACAGCAAGACTCCACTCATTGTAGTGCGGAAATTCAGCCATGCCCCATGACAACACAAATGGTCTGCAGTGGTCGGTGCCGTGATGTGAGCCCGAATCCTGCCTCTCCAGCCTGGCCTGCTGCAGGCCTGGGCAGAGGGACTGGACAACAGGCAGGCTGCCTGATTAGTGGATCCATGCCCTACGCTGCCACCAACGCTATTCCCCCCTGTTCTTCCCAACGGTCTGCCTACAGGTTGCCGTGCCCAAAGGAATCTAAACCCTCTGGCCCAGTCAAATGAGGAAGCAAAACTCCACCCAGCAACGCTGCCAAGGAAGATGACATGCATACTTGCAGTCTGTGGGGAGAGGGATCTTGATGGAGCAAATGGAAAAGACTGGCAGGGCCCTTCCTCAGCACTGCTGCCCTGATCCATTTTGTGGTCCCCATAGCTGCTCTTAACAGCTTTAATAAACAGTCTGCCTATCCGACTATGTCATGTTATAGGTGTCTACTAGTTTAACAAGACTTTCTCTTCTCCTTTCCCCCAGCAGCCCAGAAATCTACTCCCACATTTCCAAGTTCTCTGCAGCATGTTTCGAGGGCATGCAGGGGAGAGGGGAAATGACTCCACCCCTCACTTGTTCTCCTGATGGAACCGCTTACATCCACCTCTATGGTCTAGCCCACGGGTCCTCAAACTACGGCCCGGGGGCTGGATCCAGCCCGCCATGCCCATTTATTCGACCCACCATGACCATTTGGACCCACCACACATGTGCCTACGCCCATGCGCACGCCTGCCACCGCCCACCTTGCCCCGTGCGCGGGGAGACAGCAGTTTGCTCACTTGAAGAAAACAATCTTCAAGCAAGCAAGCCACTGCCTCGTGCGCCCGCCTCATGGCACGTGCCCACCCCCGCCTTGCCTCCCCTCGTTGTGCTCCCTGCCTCCACCTCAGTGAGCACGCCCGTGCGCACCGCCCCTGCCCCCTTGCCAGCCCATGCGCACCTTTCACCTGGCCCCCTGGTCCTGGTGAGGACCACTGGTCTAGCCCTTTACAGCCAGCAGGGCATAACTGAAGCCAATGGAGAGCAGTTGCCTGCTGTAAGACACTTCCACAAAGAAGCATATGAGATGTTTGTATCTGGAAATAAAGGTCACAGGTATCTCTGTTATCACTATGAACTTTTCCCTCTCACTCGAGAAGATAAGGAAGCTCTAAATTCTATTTTTGCATAATGTGCGTACAGGCTTCAGCAGTGACCATTATTTCTAGAGGCTTAGGCTGCTTCATGCAGCTATCCCATCTTGTTTTCTTAAAATATTTTCTGCAAGGAGAAAAGGGACAGAAGCAGCCATGGAAACACCTACAAGTGGATATTGTCACCTGAGCTGCTGTAAAATTCCATGAAAAAGGCACCATAATGGTGCAATAAAAAGCCTTATTTGAAATAATCTTTAATCTTCCTCCAGCTTCAGTTGAGGAATCCTGATAAATAGACACCTGTGCATTTCATACCTCATGTCCTCTAAGTCTTCATACATCTCCCCATCGCTGTTTTGACTCTATATCAAAAAAGAAAAAAAAAATGGTGTTTTAGTCTTGGTTCACACAAAATATATTTTGAATGACAAAGGGGAAGTTTAGCAAGTTAACAGGGCAAACAAACTCTGCTAGGACTGAGCAGGTAAAGCACAGTGTACTGAAAGTTTTAAAATATTACCTAGGTCATTTCAGCCATTTATTCCAGAAAAAAATATACATATGGACAGAATGAGATGGAGCGGGGTACCACAAAGCCTCCCTTTCTCTCCTAGGCCTTTATTCTGGCCCCTTCCATTCCTCCAGCCCTCTTCCTTCCAGCCTGCTCACATTCAATTCAGCACTGCCCATCATTTCAGGGACTGTGAAATGGGGTTTTGTCAGATTTTCTCTAGATGAGGGTCAGACAACACCTGGGAGCCAATTTCCCCTCCAGAAACTGAAGGTTCCACACCCCTGCTACTTTTGCAGCTGGACTGAAACGTCTGCTCATGTTCTTCCAAATAAGAAGACTGGGGGGGGGGGGTTGCTGCCAGCCAGTATCAGGGGTGTAAAAAAGGCAACGGGGGCGCAGGTTGCCCACCCTTATAAAGCATGGCCCAAGGGCTTCACTTGGCTTGTGGGCAACAAGTTGCCCAGACCTGTACTAACAAAAATTAGGATGTGCTCATCCTGCACAAATCTCTGTTCCTGCTATTTATTTTTAATCTAAAACATTTATACTTGGACTTTTCACTGCAAGCGTTTCAAGAATACTTCAATGCAAATACTATCATTGGGTTGGATCCAGA